GGCCCATCAAATAAATCACCCTCCAAAATCCTCAGGAAAATCGACTTGTTATAAATGTGGCATGACGAGGCACTGGGCTAATGAATACATCTAGTGGAGTTATTTCAAGCTTCCATGAATCTCAACAAAGCCAAAAATATGGAAGCTAATTATGTTAATGACACAACTCCACCTCTGCCAAAATTTGACGTGTCCGACTTTTTCGCGGATGATGCCATTACGGACGATGCTTTTACCATAAACCAAAATGTTAAAAAATAAAATAGTAGACTCCTTATGTTGTATAATACTAGTTTTATGTACTTTTTGTTTCTTCCCCTTTTATTTTGTTTTTAAATAAATGTGTGTAATGTATGTACTCTTATGTTGAATAAGATGCATAATTTGTGATCAAGCTTATGTTTATTTATATATATTGAAGATATGGATCACTCAAATGATAAAGAGTTATGTCTGATAGACAGCGCCACAACGCACACCATTTTGAGAAATAAAATATATTTTCTCGAATGACTTTAGTTGAAGCTAAAGTCAATACAATATCAGGTGTTGGGGAGCTCATTGAAGGTTCTGGGAAAGCATATGTGATGCTCCCTAATGGGACACAAATAATTATAAATGACACTCTATACTCCAGCAAATTGAGGAGAAATTTATTGAGTTTTAAAGATATACGTCAAAATGGTTATCACATAGAAACCATGAATGAAAATCACAAGGAATATCTTTGCCTCACGACAACTAAATCTGGCACTAAATATGTTTGTGTAAAAATGCCAGCATATTCCTGAGGACTATATTTCACATATATTAGTCCATTCGAAATAAATTTGGTTTCTAACACAAAGTTAGATGATCAGAAAATATTCATATTGTGGCATGACCGTTTATGTCACCCAGGCCAAGTAATGATGCAAAGAATCATTAAGACTTCACTTGGACACCCATTAAAGAATATCAGGGTTCCATTATCAAGTGATTTTCTTTGTAAGGTCTGTTCTCTTGGCAAAATGATCATCAAACCTTCTATAAACAAAATTGCAACTGAATCACCTCCATTTTTAGAAAGGATTCAAGGAGAGATTTGTGGACCGATAGCCCCACCATGTGGACCATTTCAATATTTTATGGTGTTGATTGATGCTTCAACACGTTGATCACATGTCAGTCTGTTATCAACTAGAAATATAGCATTTTCTAAACTCCTTGCTCAAATCATATGATTAAGAGCTCATTTTTCGGATCATTCTATAAAGAGAATCCGACTTGACAATGCAGGAAAATTTACATCCCAATCATTTAACGATTATTGTATGTCGATTGGGATTGACGTGGATCACCCTACCTGTTGCTCATGTCCATACACAAAATGGTCTTGCTGAATCTTTGATTAAACGATTACAATTAATCACTAGACCATTATTAATGAAGTGTAATTTACCTTCATCAGCTTGGGGACATGCTATTTTACATGCAGCAAATTTAGTTCGACTTAGACCAACTGCGTATCATAAATATTCCTCAATGTAATTAGTTACTGGACAAGAGCCAAATTTAGCACACATAAAAATATTTGGTTGTGGTGTTTATGTTGCGGTTGCTCCACCTCATTGTACAAAAATGGGTCCTCAAAGAAGGTTGGGAATTTATTTTGGTTTTGAATCCCCCTCAATAATAAAATATCTCGAACCGATGACTGGCGACTTATTCACATCACGGTTTGCAGACTGTCATTTTAATGAGACAGTGTTCCCAACCTTAGGAGGAGAAAAGAATAAATTAGACTCAAGTACGAAAGAGATAACATGGAATGCAACATGATTATCACATCTTGACTCAAGAACAAATAAATGTGAGCAAGAAGTTCAAAAGATAATCCATTTACAAAATGTTGCAAATCAGTTGCCTGATGCATTCACAGACACAAAGAAAGTGACAAAGTCACATATTCCTGCCATGAATGCCTCTGCCAGGATTGAAATCCCAGCAGAGAATTCTGAAAAATCTCTTGCAAATGATTCTTCTATACGCAAAAAGCGTGGCAGGCCACTTGGATCAAAAGACATAAAACCAAGAAAAACTAAAAGACAGGAATTGATATGTGATGCCAAAGATGTTCACTCTTCTGAACAAGAAAATGAACAATTTGGAAATACTGGCATAGAAAATGATATTGACAAAACAAACATCTCAAATGATTATCCAACTTCCTTAAACGAGGAAGATATTCCAGATAATGATAGAAACGTTGATAATTGTGAAATTTCAATAAACTACCTTTCTACTGGAATGCAATGGAATAAAAAAGATATTGATATTAATGAGATATTTTTCTATGCCGTTTCCACGAATGTAATGAGTGAAAACAATGACAATGAGCCAACATCAATAGAAGAATGTTGGAAATGACACGATTGACTAAAATGGAATGAAGCTATTCAGGCTGAATTAAATCACTTGAAAAACATGATGTTTTTGGACCGATAGCCCCTACGCCAAAGGGCATAAAACTAGTGTGCTTTAAATGAGTATTTATGCGTAAACGCAATGAGAAGAATGAAATCGTAAGATATAAAGCCCGACTTGTTGCCCAAAGGTTTTCTCAAATGCCGGGAATAAATTATGAAGAAACTTATTCTCCAGTAGTTGATGCAACTACATTAAGGTTTCTCATTGGCATGTCTGTTTTTAAAAAGGTTACAAATGCGCCTAATGGATGTAGTGACTACATATTTGTATGGTTCACTCGATACAGACATTTATATGAAAGTTCCCGGTGGATTTAAAATGCCTGAAGCTTATAGCTCCAAACCTCGAGAAATATTTTCCATTAAATTACAAAAATTATTGTATGGACTAAAACAATCTGGACGAATGTGGTATAATCGTCTTAGTGAATACCTTCTCAAAGAAGGATATAAGAATGATCCAATTAGTCCAAGTGTTTTCATTCGGCGATCAAATTTGGGATTCATCATAATTGCAGTATATGTTGATGACTTAAACATTATTGGAACTCCGATGAAATTGAGAATACTGCAAATTATCTTATGAAAGAATTTGAAATGAAAGATCTCGGGAGAACCAAATTTTGTCTCGAACTTCAAATTGAGCATTTGAAGAATGAAATTTTCATCCATCAATGCAATTACACTGAGAAAGTTTTGAAGCGGTTCTACATGGACAAAGTTCATCTGTTGACTTCCCCAATGGTGATTCGATCTCTCACCATACACGATGATCCATTCCATCCCCGAGAAGACAACGAAGAAATACCCAGTCCCGAAGTACCATATCTGAGTGCTATTGGAGCTTTAATGTATTTAGCTAATAATAATAGACCAGATATTGCATTTTCTGTAAATATATTAGCTAGGTACAGCTCATGTCCAACAAGGCATCATTGGAACGGGATCAATTCAAGCACATATTCCGTTATCTCCGTGGTACAGTTGATCTTGGCCTATTCTACCACAAAGATTCAAAAGCCACTTTTATTGGACATGCAGACACAAGATACTTATCAGATCCTCAAAAGGCAAAATCACAAACCGGGTACGTATTTACTTATGGTAATACCGCAATCTCATGGAGATCTATGAAGCAGACATTGGCAGCTACATCATCAAATCATTCTGAGTTAATTGCAATATATGAAACCGGAAGAGAATGTGTGTGGCTGCGATCTATAATTCAACACATCCAAAACGAATGTGGTATGAAGCCTCTTACTTGTCATCCTACTTTGATCTATGAAGACAACACTGCATGCATAGCTCAGATTAAAGAAGGCTGCATTAAAGGAGACAGAACAAAACACATATCACCAAAGTTCTTCTCTACTCACGATTTGGAGAAAGAAGGAACAATCAACATTCAAGAAATCAGATCCAGTGAAAATCCGGCCGATCACTTCACCAAATCTTTACCCCCGAAGAAGTTCATAGAACTTGTACAGAAAATCGGCATGCACCGCCTTCAAAATTTGTTCTAAGTTCCGGGGAATTATTTGAATGCATTACACTCTTTTTCCCTTCATCAGTTTTTATCCCACTGAGTTTTTCCTGATAACGTTTTTAACGAGGCAGTACATCCAAATACAACGACATTATAAGTCGTAATTTTTACCCCTTAATTTTCACAATAAGTTTTTAAAATATTAAATACATATTCAAGAACTTTTAGCAGTTTTCTTACAATAGTCCCACCTTTTGATTATTCAGGAATAATCCAACCTTTGTACCCCATCTTCATTCAATGGTCCGTGACCAGTAGATGACCTGCTATTCCAAATTATTTTCTTATTTTTGCTAAAAATTATGTGACCATAAGGTGAGATTTATGGTATAATATATTGCAAAGATAAGAAAATAACTTGAAATAGCAGATCATCAACCGGTTATGGATCATTGAATGGAGATGGGGTGCAATGGTTGGATTATTCCTGAATAATCAAAAGGTGGGACTATTGTAAGAAAACCGCTAAAAGGTTAGATTATTAGTTTCCATTTTCCCATTAGGGAGAACTATCAAATAAGCCCTCGAACTTTCATAAAAAGTGCAAATAAGCCCTTTTATAGGAGGCTCTGTCCGGCTGTCGCCATTTGGGGCGGTTTCCGGTGGAAGTTTTTGATGATTTTTTTTGAGTATTTTCTTCATTAAGTCTAGTTTATTCATACCAAATTTCAGCTAAAAGTTCAATCGGGAAGGCAGTCAAATGAATTTTTGAAGATAACTGCGCAGTTAGACAACGCAATACATTTTAGAAAATCATTTGAGTGCCTTATCGATTGAATTTTTAGCTAAAATTTGGTATGGGTAAACCAGAGTTAATGAATAAGATGCTAAAAAAATCCATCAAAAAAATACATCGAAAACCGCACCAAATAGTGACAGCGGGACAAAGCCCTTGTAAAGATCTTATTTGCATATTTTTTATGAAAGTTCGAGGGATACGGAACACGTACTTTTGATTAATTTTGTACTTCACGTGATCCCAGTGGCTGCCGCTAAACAGCACCCATATTCACTCATCTTCCAATCAAGGAGATGATGATCAACCATGAAGATATTCAAGCACTTAGTTTTCCACCCATATTGATACACATCTTGACTCAATCTAGAAAGTGTTGTCTTTAATAATAAGCAGCTAATATAATATTTATATACGGAGTATTTATCTAAATACCCGTATAAATAGTCCTTAATTGCTGCTACATTGAATGAGCCCTGCTTGCGAGTCTAATGGCGGATTCCTCCCTGGATTGCTGCTATAACTATAAATGGAGGACTCACATTCCGCTCTCGTGTCATCCCAAGAGCTTACACTATAGAGTCAACGGTCAAAACCCACATCCCATCTTCTCCCGTCGACGTCGCCTGCGTCATTCTCCCACCGTATCCGGCGGGATCTCAGGAAGAGCTGATTTTGTTGTGACAACGACGGAAAACCATTTCGGGAGATCCGGTTTTTCTATACTCAGTTCTCCTAGGAGGAAGATGTCGACCACTTCCAATCACTTGCTGCGTCACGTCGAGTCTATGGCATCAGGCGCCGGCGCCGAGATGCCTAGACTGAATGCTGTCGTTCTTGGGGATGGACCTGCATCTGAAGGGGTCGATCTTGTCCTTCCTAATGAGGATCTCTCCCGCCAGGCGCACGTCTCTTCTCCCGAACAGGTAGCTTCCCCCACTCCTGCCTAATTGTTTGCAAAGTTTATCTCTTTCTATATAAGGTGATATATTTTGATGAGATTCTGATATTGGCTTTGCATTTGCTTGATTTTAATAATGTCGGCGATTGACGACTGGTTTCAAATCTTAAATACCACCACGACAATAGTATCTGAAGATGTACCAAAGATCCATTGAGGAACCTGCCGAATTTTGGGCTGACATTGCATCTCAGTTCCATTGGAAACAAAAATGGGACCACCAGTTCTGCCAGAAGGAAAACTTTGACATACGCAAGGGAAGAATTCATATTGAGGTGCCCACTCCTTTATTGCTGGCTTCTGGAGTAGTAGTACTTTTTTTAAAAGTGAAGTAGTAGTACTTGAGAACGATAATAGTAATAATACTGTAATAGTAATAATAATAGTAATAGTAATAATAAAAAAAATAATAATAATAAATTAGAAAGGAAAAAAGGAAAGATTTTCCACTTACCATCTCTTTTTGCTACCAGTGGTTCAAAGGTGGAATCACGAATATCTGTTACAATTGCTTGGATAGAAACATAGAATCTGGAAATGGAGACAAAGTTGCAATTTACTGGGAAGGAAATGAAACAGGGATTGATGCTACTCTGACATACAATCAACTTTTGGCAAGAGTTTGCCAGGTTAGTACCTTTCCTGAATGGTCATCCCATTTTATAATTGATGATTACATTTTATTACTACAAATAAATCCATGTCTTTATTCCTTCTCTTCAGCTTGCAAATTACTTGAAAGATATTGGTGTTCAAAAGGGTGATGCAGTTGTAATTTACCTCCCTATGCATATGGAACTGCCGATTGCAATGCTTGCTTGTGCTCGTATCGGTGCTATTCACTCGGTAAGGGGAAAAATGTCTAAACTCTTTTGACCCCAACAACCATTACTGACATGGAAAACATTATGCTTATATGGGGAAGGGGAAAAAAGAGGTTCCACACATGATTTTTGATAATGCTGCAGGTTGTATTTGCTGGATTCTCTGCTGAATCTCTGTCCCAGAGGATCATGGATTGCAAACCTAAAGTTGTTATAACTTGCAATGCGGTTAGGAGGGGATCTAAGGTCATTCACCTCAAAGACATTGTTGACGCTGCTCTTTCTGAATCCAAACAAAGTGGAACCACTATAGGTAAGAAGGTTTTGATGTCAATGCCCATCTTGCAAGATAGTTTAACAAATAAGAATAGCTAGGTTGACACAGAGTTTAAGCAAATGTGTTATACATCTTCGAAAAAAACTGTGTTATGGAAAACATATAGCGAGGACATGGATTTGAGGAAGTGGGAGTGCACATACAAAAGCCTATGGGCTGACTGCTGACATGAATAAGCAACTTTATTAATGAATTCATTTGGTCAGTTTTATTAGTTTAGTTGATATTATGTTCTACAGCTGTAGTTGTACTCAACAGTAGTTTTTTGGTATTTAACTTTCTTGAAAGACTAATTGGTGTATCAAAATAGTATTTACTTGACCCTCCCAACTCCTCTGTGATATTCTTATTTTCCCTGCTTTTTTGGAGCTTCTTTATTTCTCCTATAATACTACTTGATTCAACAAAATGTTTGTTTATCATTCTCTCAGGTTGTCCATTGACAATTGTGCACCATAACTGTTTCACACTCTTACTTATCTGTATTGAATTTAGTCTTTCTTTTATGCATGTAACTTTTCTTAGCTAACTCTCCTGTAAAGATGCTCATATACATTATTTTTTGTTCTCATATTCTCTGGAAGATGTATGCTTGACATGTGAAAACAAATCAGCTATGAAGAAAGAAATGACCAAGTGGCAGGAGGGAAGAGATATTTGGTGGCAGGTGCACAAAAACAAATTTTCTGCTATATGGATTTGTTTTCTCATTTAAGAAAGTGTTCTCTCAAATTTAAAATGTCGGTGCTTGGTAATATGCACACATGACTTATTCTTGTAAGACGTGACTGCCTGTTCTGTTGGTAAGAGCTGGAGGCTTTTGATAACTATAATTACATCTTGTTTATGACTGTCCACTGGTAAAGTATTTTTAGTTGGAGTTACATGCATTCGAGTATACAAAACTCTTAGCAGTTTGCTTCCATTTCCTCCAAAGACACTGTTAACTCCATTCTAGTGGAGTCCATATTGATGTGAAGGCTTCTTTTTGTTTTAAAGGACTTTATGTCCACATCTGTGCAGAATTGTTTCTAGCTTTCTAATATTTTCATGAGCGTGTATTGCTAGCAATTATTTTTCTTTATGGGTGGCCACTGGCCATTGTAACCTTTGTTTAGACATAGTTTCCTACTGGTTATGCTGATCATATTCTTTCAGGATGTTGTTCCGAAATATCCAACAATGTGCGATGTGCAATGGGTTGATTCAGAAGATCCACTCTTCCTACTCTATACGAGTGGGAGTACCGGAAAACCCAAGGTATCATACTTCTGTAGAAACCTGTATATCATATCTTTAAGATTTGTAAGTTATTTTTTCATTTTTTCTAAAGGGTGTGCTACATACAACTGGAGGGTATATGGTATACACGGCTACTACATTTAAATATGCATTTGACTACAAATCGCAAGATATATACTGGTAATTTGGACCAAATTCCATTGAAACAATGTCTACCCATTTTGCATGTAATTGGAAGGAGAGTTTGAGCTAAACAATGTTACTTCTTTGTCAGGTGTACAGCTGATTGCGGTTGGATTACTGGGCATAGCTACGTTACATATGGACCTCTACTAAATGGAGCAACTGTTGTTGTCTATGAAGGGGTAACTATTCATCTATTATTATGAACTTAATAATGTACTTTGATGTGCAGTGACTTTTTGAGTTGCTTTTACATAGTGAGTGGAGTGTTGCAATCTAGCAATTTGGTTTCACACCTTTACCAACTAAATTGTTCTCCTACAGGCTCCTAATTATCCAGATTCTGGACGTTGTTGGGATATTGTTGACAAATACAAAGTGTCTATTTTTTATACAGCTCCTACATTGGTGCGGTCTCTCATGCGTGAAGGAGATGAGGCAAGAATATACCCCAACACTTTTTTTATTCCTTGCAATTTGCTGGATGGTTTATAACAATTTACTTTCTTCTTTTATGCTCTGCTATAAAATAAATTTTGAGCCCAAATGGTTCATGTTTACACATAAAGTGGTGATGAATCCCGAGCTTTTAAACTTCTAGTGTTCTAGCCTGCTTAACTTTATGGAATGAAGGATCAATCTGTGAAAATGGAGTGCATGCATGCCTGATGTTCCCTTTCAAGGAAGTATTAGAAGGTGAAAGAGAGGAAACATGATTTTTGAAAGCCCTCTCCATCCCACTTTCCCTAGGGGGGAGTCTTGAGATAAAATAGCTCCTCATTTAAATTTGAAATCCACAAAGAATTGAAGAGATAGTAGAGTTTTTATATTTTATTTATTTATTTATTCGTTCGTTTGTTTCCTTACGAATTAGGCTGAGTCCATCTATATTCATTCTAATTAGGCAGAGTACTTGGATCTGAGTTTATGTTACCAATTGCAGTATGTCACCCGCTATTCACGCAAATCATTACGAGTCCTTGGAAGTGTAGGTGAACCTATCAATCCAAGCGCATGGAGGTTTTATTTTATAATCTATACTCTTTGGAGCCTTTTCTATCTCTTCTTTTGAGTATCAGTTAGTTTCTAGATATAACTTTTTATCATTTGCTGTTTTCCTTGTTCAGGTGGTTTTTCAATGTAGTTGGAGACTCAAGGTGTCCCATATCTGATACATGGTGGCAAACCGAAACAGGTGGCTTTATGGTATGCTACTCACTCATTTTGCGCTTCATACCTTCTTCTGTATAAAAGTAACTGTGTGATTTGAGATGCAATTAATTCCTTTCAGATTACTCCTCTACCAGGAGCCTGGCCCCAAAAACCCGGCTCTGCCACATTTCCATTTTTTGGAGTTCAGGTACAATGTCTCAAGAAAACAATTTTACAGATTCCATTTATGTGAGCATCTTAGGAGGGTCCATATCTCAACCCTCTAGTAATTCGTTTTCCATTCCACAAAATAATGTGATAACAATGCAGCCTGTGATAGTGGATGAGAAGGGGGTTGAGATGGAAGGTGAGTGCAGTGGCTATTTGTGTGTAAGGAGCTCATGGCCTGGAGCCTTTCGGACTCTTTATGGGGATCATGATAGATACGAAACCACATATTTCAGCGCCTTCCCTGGCTATTATTTCAGTGGCGATGGCTGCCGCAGGTAGTTTTATTGACATAATGAGGGTGATTCTGTTTCTGTAGAATATCTACTTTGAGCTTCTGGTGGTTAAGCTTGAAGCCCACTAGTAGATAGATGCTCCGCTGTCCCAAAATTTTCTTCCTAGTTTGACTTGGCACATTTATCAAGGAAGTGAAATTGTACGATTCTCGATGATGCTTAAAAGGAGAGAAATGATATCAATCAAATATTTCCGTAAAATTAAACGTGGAGAGTTTTTGGCCATCCCGAAAAGAAAAGTGGGAAGAGATTCTAGAGAATTATGTGACACATGGAGTAATAAAAAAAGGCATCAGACCATTTTCTTTTAATGCACACCCATATGGTTTTCAGGGACAAGGATGGTTTCTACTGGCTTACTGGAAGAGTTGACGATGTTATTAATGTCAGGTAAATTATTATGCATCTTGTCTGGGGGCAATTATGATCTTGGATTCTAATCGTGAAAGAAACACCACTTTTTTTGTCTGGAGTAATAGTTTGTCTTTTATGATTGAACTGAATGATAATAATAGCACACTGTTTATTGATATTGGGATATTGAGATTTGATATTCAAAACAATCAAATATTTGTATTTGATGTATATATAAAATAAAATAGTGGGCACCGTATTGGCACGGCTGAAGTGGAATCTGCTCTAGTTTCACACCCCAAATGCGCTGAAGCGGCAGTGGTTGGTATTGAACATGAGGTAAAGTTCATGAATGCATCCCTTTCATGATACGCCTTTCATTGCTATGTAAATCCTTCCATTGGTTGGTATGACCACCAGGTGAAAGGGCAAGGAATCTATTCATTTGTGACACTGGTTGATGGTGTTCCATACAGCGAAGAACTTAAAAAAGAACTTGTCCTCACCGTGAGAAAGCAGGTAGCATCCTCCCTCCTATATACATTCACTCATTATTTATAACTAAGAATAATGAAATGAAAAGGGTGCATGTGTGGGGGTACGCAGATCGGAGCATTTGCAGCACCTGACAGAATACATTGGGCACCGGGACTTCCAAAGACAAGGAGTGGGAAAATAATGAGGAGAGTTTTGAGGAAGATTGCTTCTAAGCAGTTAGATGAGGTTGGGGACACAAGTACCCTTGCCGATCCCGCTGTTGTCGACCAACTCATTGCCCTTGCTGATTCTTGAACTCATTTCTGATGAGAACCTCGAGAGAGAGAGAGTCCCCTTCCACTTCAACATCTCTGCTTTCTATTGGGCTGTATTGTATATATACTTTTATCGTCTTCAGTTATTATTATTTAAGCAACAGAAGTAATATTACTCCATTTGGAGTGTGATGATAGATACGTATAGATGCCTAGATGGTCATAGAGGGATATGCTTTTTGAACGGCAGCATTTGGCAACAATTTCCTTAATTTTATCTTTAATCATATGTACCCTCCAGTCCTTAATTTTATCTTTAATCAATTGTATAGTATAATAATTCTGCTTGAAACGAAATACAGACAATTTGTCAAGGAAAAACGTAAAGTTACTTAAAATCGAGCCCAACGTAAACTATGTTTCCTTAAGACGTTTTTGTCCGACACACGTAGCTATGGACGGACTCGGGCCGGGTGGCCTGACCCATGGGTTTTCCTGTCCGGGCTCAGGTCACCCAAAACAAGGCCCGACCTGTTCGGGCACGGACCCGGTTCGGGCCAAAACTATTTTTTCTTTTTTTCAATTGTTTTTAAATTTTCGGGTTGGGTTGGGTATTTTGGGCCATTTGGGGTGGTTTGGGGGGTTGGGGGTGGGAGGGGGGTTAATTAGGAAGAGTGAAAAAAAAATTGATAATGGGCCCGGCCCGACCGGACCCGGTGGTTACCCGGGCCGGTCCCGGGTCCACCACTTCTGAACCGCCGGCCCGCCCGGGCCTAGGCCTGGCCCGGACCTGAGTTCACCCCTACATGTAGCAAACGTCTCTCAGGATAGAGCGGTTCTTTGTTCCCAATAGGACACCAATGAATGAATGAATTCAAAGATGCATGACGATGAAGGAGAAATTTGGATGTCGGTCCCGGGCCGATTCCGGGTCGGGCCACCCGGACCGAGTCCACCACTATGCAAAATGGAAGGGAGAGTCTTGGATATATAGTGGATATCAGGATATATAATGCTCTGACTAGGAGACACTTCTAAGAGACACCTCTTCAATAAAAGGAGAAAACTTTTATCAAAAGACAAGATTTTTCGTATGAGAGGAAAAATCTGAAATTTGGTCAAAGACCTGAACCCAAACCCAAACCAGACCAGATGAACGGCGACGGTGTGCGTGAAGAGTTAATTCCACAAAAATCTGGTGCCCAAAGCCCCCCCAACCTAGCTAAGGAAAGCTTATAAAAACACTTCATTAACTCTCCATTTTCGGTGTGGGATAAATTCCTTTTCGAAACTGGCTTTTTAGCGAAGTTCAGGAAACAATTTATCATTCATTTCTAAATGGTTTTGCAGACTTTAATATATGGTTGTGTTCACCTTTCGCAGTTATATGTTAGGACTAGGTCCTACCACATATTAGTTGTGAATCTTTTATTTATTTTTGTTCATAGATGATCATTATATTAAAGTAAAGTCATTTTTCCAACAATCTCCCACATGAATGGGAAATCAGCTTAAAGACAAGAAACATATTCAAATTTGAGTATTTGACAAAAGAAGATCAGAACTCTACGTATGGTTAGGTAGCCATGCCAAGACTCGAGGAAGAAGCCCCGGCTAATCTGTATCAAAGAGAAACAATAAAAATCATATTTTAAACATTCAGAAAACAAAAAAGTTTTTCGAAAAACTAAAAAATGAAAGTTGACAAACTTTGACAGGACAGGATTAATCAACTTGGATACAATATTTTCGATAGCTTAATATTACGCATTTTGTCAGCTTCAACAATTACGAGGATTGTGAAAGTTAATTAAAACATTAATATTAATGTTTTTGAAGAGGAAAAATATATAATACAGAGCAATTACAACAAATTAGTTAATTTAAAGGAAAATTAACAATATTTAATACGGAGTAGAAAAAACTAAACTAATGAAAAGTTGATAATTTTTTTTGGAATGAACGAACTGGAAGTTTAAATAAGGGAAAAGTGTCAAATAGACCTCTCTACTGTTTCGAAAATATCAATTACACCCACCAACACCAATATGGCAATATCACCCTATTAGACTCACGAACCATTAAAAACCAGTCAAATTGTTATTTTAGCCGGTATCCTCCAAGTTCTGTGTTATATTGCGTTTGTGGCATCTGACATGGCACATTTTTTCTTTTTCCTTATTTTCCTTTCCTTCCTTCCTTCGTCCCCGCTCCCTTTCTTCTTCTTCTTCCTTGCGCCTCCAAGTCTGCAACCAGGGCCGTCTTTAGGAAATTTGGTGCCCGAGCCGAAAAACTAAAACTAAATACATAGACTAATTAAATTAATAAAAGAATAAAAAGAAAAGTGTAATAACATACTCAAATTCAAACATAATCATTAAAACGAAGTGGGGTAATTTCGAAACATGTCTATGTGGTAGTTCCAGATTTAAACTCTTTTTTACATCTCTCTCCTTACAACCCGCAAAATATTATATTATTTGATGTATTTGTTTATTAATTTTTTTCTCTTTGAAGGCACCTAAATCTTGTATTATTTGGTCCATTCTCTTATTAACTCTTCGATTTTTCCTTAAATATTACTAATAAAATATCATGGACAAAAATGTGACTTAGTAACTTATAGTTACTTACCACGATGTAAACTTTAAGCACAACTGTAGTCACTAATAGTTATTAAGTACTCCCTCCGTCCCTCTTATATTGTCCCGGTTTACCTTTTCGGGAAGTCCCACTAAAATTGTCCCATACCATATTTGGTAAAGTTTGTGTGGTTCTAAATCATTCTTACTTTATTCTTACTTTATCAATTAATATCAACCACACAACCCCACTTTTCTTAATAATCGTGTCACTCTCTTCCGACCCAATATAAGAGGGACGGAGGTAGTAATATTTATGTCCATCACATTTTAAAGAGTAATATTTATGGAGTTTGTTTTAACTTTTTATAGTGAAAACTTCAAAAATAACAATACAACATGAACTTAATGGAATTACAATTATTATACTAAAAGCTATTGAATGTGTTTTGCAATGAATAATATTGACATAATCTATAAGGAACAAGTTTAGATATATATGTTATAACACAAGTAACAAATATAATATTTCGAAATTCATTTGGCGTTAAAATGAAATCCATATGAAATTGCAAATCATGGTAAACTTGTATTTAACTGAAAAGAAAATTCACTAAATTTGTATTGTGATGCTTAAACACTTAATTTTTCTTATATAATTAATTTTAATTTTTGCTTTGACTTATGAACTGGACGCATGTATGGAAATAGATTAAAAATAAATTTATGAGAAATAGATTAATCTTGAAGTCTTATATAGCAAAAAATAGATTTGATTGAATTTTGAACTGCATCATGATTTTTAGAATTCTAATGTTACAGTCATTCTCATACATGTGTTGCATAACCCATGTTGCATAATCCATCCCAGTGTAATACTTGAGATTTAATTTAAACGGATTAACAGTACTACTCATACCAACAAGGTGCATCTCCTTTTAAGGGAGCTCATTATCCAAGAACTTCAAAGTTAAGCGTGCTTGCACGGGAGTAGTCTTGGTATGGGTGACCCCCTGGGAAATTTCTTAGGACGCGCACGAGTGAGGACAAAGTGCTCGGAAAAGGCTAGCGGCGGTTTGTGAGGATAGTACTAGAGGTCAGAAATAACTACCTCGGGGCCTACGGGGCCGGGGTGTTACAAATGGTATCAGAGCAACCCTGCGACAGTGTGCTGGCCCGTTAGATATCGGGCAGACACTTAGCGGGGGGAAAGATTCTGGGATTTGATTGAGATTGGTTTATGGGCGCAACGAGGACGTTGCATTCCTAAGTGGAGGTGATTGTAACACTTGAGATTTAATTTAAATGGATTAATAGTACTACTCATACCAACAAGATGCATCTCCTTTTAAGGGAGCTCATCACCAAGAACTCTAAAGTTAAGCGTGCTTGCACGGGAGTAGTCTTGGGATGGGTGACGCCCTGGGAAATTTCCCAGGGCACGCACGAGGGAGGACAAAGTGCACGGAAAAGACTAGTGGAGGTTTGTGAGGACAGTACTAGAGGTCAGAAGTAACTAACTCGGGGCCTACAGGGCCGGGGTGTTACAAATGGTATCAGAGCAATCCTGCGACAGTGTGTTGATCCGTTGGATATCGGGCGGACACTTAGCAGGGGAAAAGATTCTGGGATATGATTGAGATTGGTTTATGGGCGCAACGAGGACGTTGCATTCCTAAGTGGGGGTGATTGTAATACTTGAGATTTAATTTAAATGGATTAATAGTATTACTCATACCAACAAGGTGCATCTCCTTTTAAGGGAGCTCATTATCCAAGAACTTCAAAGTTAAGCGTGCTGGCACGGGAGTAGTCTTGGGATGGGTGACCCCCAAGAAATTTCTTAGGGCGCGCACGAGTGAGAACAAAGTGCTCGGAAAAGGCTAGTGGCGGTTTGTGAGGATAGTACTAGAGGTCAGAAATAACTACCTCGGGGCCTACGGGGCAGGGGTGTTACACCCAGCCATGTGACTTATTGTGGAGGCACTTATCCGACCCCTTTCTCTTTAAATAAAGTAGCAATAGTATTCATACCAATCTTTCTTATCACATCCAAAACCTCTTTTTAATAGGTCACCAACAGGTTACCGCTAAGGCACTTGTGTGACCCCCACGTGTCATTTGTTGGGAAAATGTGTTAAAATATTGCATTAAATGGTCATTTTGGGGCAATTATTTGAGTGGGGTCCACTTCTGATTTGGGTCGGGTCAAAGTGGTTTTGGATTGTCCTTGTTAAGGGCTACAATTCGATATATGGTACACTCAAAACGGGTAACGGGTGAATGAGAAATCGCTTTTCGAAGTTTTCCCGTTGGAATGGAGAATACTAGGAAAAGGTGGGTTTTAATGTGGGTTTTTCCCACACCGAAAATCCCAAGGGAATTTGAACCCTTTATAAAGGGAAAACCCCCCTAAGGAGTTAAGCTTCCTAAAGGGAAAGGCTTTCTCACACGCGCAGGGGGGTGCAAATCAAATCTTGAAACCGAAGAACAAAAGCGTGACTTGCGTGTGTGGGCGACCTGCACACATGAATGCCGTCCGAAAATCCAAGTTGGGAAAAGCTTGTCCCTCCAATATGCATACATTGCAATTGTCAAGCGGCAATTGGAAGGGTACAGAGCAACATGTACAATGGTAAGTCTAGACACTTCGTTGTAGACATAACACCTTTAAACAACTCCTCACAACGTGTGTTATCACGGCTGACTACGTGAAGTCAAAGGATAACATAGCCGATCCGCTAACCAAGGCATTGGATAGAGAATTGTTGGAGAAGTTGTCACG